CCCCAAAACCCCAAAACCCCAAAACCCCTGTAGTAACCAGAAAGGTTGAAACGAAGTTTTACATCCAAATCTGGGCTTATCTCCTTGTCTAGACAAAATTAGGGATGTTTACTTAGCTATTAGGTAGAAGTGCTAGTTTGCTTGAAAAGATGTTCAGTGTATGCCTCAGCATCTGCAGGAAATGCATAGACATTTCCCTTATTCTCTCACTACGTGAAGACTCTAATACAATCTTTTAAAAGTTCAGTGCCTGACAGGCTAGGAAGCTCAGGAGGACTCTCCTGGCCATAGAAGGTTTAGAAACCTTTCTTTTGGTAGTTTTGGTTAGTTTTAGAGCTCTATTATTATTTTAAATGAAAAGAAAATTCACGAAATTTTTAGAAATAAAAATTAAACAATTGATGAAAATGGCTACAATGGCTATTTTTTGAGATTTTAATGTACATTTGGATAGCAAAGTCTCTCGGAACAACAAAATTTAGCTAAAAATAAAGCCTAGGATTCTAATAAATGGCGATGAATTCAGGCATGACGCCATAAACATATCCCTCGAGGGGGTAAATTAACGTAATAAACAAGTTTGGACAAATATTTAAGCCATAGTTTTCCGCGATTTCTCCTAAACTTCCCTCGGCGTCTACTAAAACTCTCCAAAATAATTATGGGAGGCTCAGAATCTAAGTTTGTCTGAAATTTCCATTTAACTGTTTGATAATATTTGCTATATTTAATAAAAGCTCTTTGGTTCTGCTATGAAACAAATTTCCCAAGAAATGCCGATGAAGAGAATTGACAGGAATTAGGGTTAAAGTATTATGGTACAAATTATGAAATCAGTGCCTTTGTTGGCTAATGTCTCTCTCTATACGTTGAGAGTCTCATCCTTGGAATCGTCATTCTTTTGGCCAAGTTCATTGATTCCTCATAGAATCTGGCATTCTGGAACTTGTCTCTTTGATACTCATACCTCCGGTTGCTTGTAGGCACTGGGAGTTCGTCGACATAGTCTATACAGGGAGGTGAGCTCTTGGAACTTCGGTAAGTAAAGATTCATCAAATACTTTTGAAGCGAGATTATATAACCTTTAGCTTAATCGTAAGTTTGGGCTCTCGGATTTTAAACAAATTTATCGATTTTAGAAATGTTGTAAAGGGAGTTTAGGCTTACCTAAGAACGCTATTGTCACTGCTCAGCGTACATTTGGGAAAATGAAAGAAGTATTCTCTTATATGCCTTTTTAGTATTATGATATATCTTCAAGTCAGACATTTTGACTGAAAAGAACGAGACGTTATGACTTGGATCCCACTGGAGTAAGAATTCATGGATGTATCTTAATTTCACGAGTAAATCTGACTGAGGGTCATCTTCATTGTATTCACACTCGAACCTCAGGTCTCCTTCCTTATTATGGATAACGAACTGAGGAGTATGTGAGGCAGCAGTGAAGCTGACCCCTGTGATGTCTCGGTAGGATGTTCTCCTTCGTTCGTTCTTTTTGTTTTTAATCACTATCATCTTGTCCTCAGTAAATCTGAGCTTTCTCCTTTGAGATTTGCCTATAAAGTTGTAAATTTAGAGAATTAGGAAATGCACAAGATGGTTGTCCCAGCAATGATTCGTCAGTGCACATTTGGAGAATGAGGATCAGCCTGATAGAGTGAGGCTGAAGTTGCATCTCAAAACGAAAATATAGCTTACCTTTATCATTCACCTTGATTACAGGTGTTTCAGTTGTAAATAAATGATGTCTGATCTTAGTTTCCTCCATGTTAAAATTATGCTTCAATTGAAATTATTTTAACTGGGGTTTTGGGGTTTTGGGGTTTTGGGGTTTTGGGGTTTTTGGGG